CTCCCTGCTGGTGGCCAAGTGCAACAAGAGGTCACTGCTCTGACGTCTGGCTTTGTGGGGCTTAGGGATGAACTCTAGATGTGTTGACTGCAGAGGTTGGTCCTGGGGCCTCTGTCCAGGGTACTGGGCATCTACCACGAAGGGATCAGCCTCAAGCACCGTCTAAGCCTAACTGGCCATTCCTTGTTGCCTGTAGGAATTCCAAGTCCCTCGAATGCTCTTCTACAAACCTTCCTTGGTCCTCAGACTTCTGTCTGAGAAGGCATCAGAATCACAGAGATACCCAGAGGGAGAAGGATAGAGACAGGGCTGTGCAAACGGGCGGGGTGTGAAGTGTGGGCAGGCACATGGGAATGTCTGGCCTGGCCTAGAAGCAGGAGACCTGTCGGTTCCTCTCTGTCTTTGAGTCAATTGCTGTGTGACTTCAGGCAAGATCTCCACCTTCTCTGAGCCATTCTGAAAGCCTGGGATGACAGTCCACTTCTCCTGCCACTGGTCATTGGTTTCACAAGGACAATAAGCAGTGTTGTCCTTAGGTGTGGGAAACAGGAGCTCCGACCCCAGGCGTCATTGTGCCTATGGATGAAGGTCTCCAGGGTCCTGGGGGAAATAGCCCTCATTTTAGGGGTTGCCAAGAGAGCAGTCCTTTTTGGAGCCATAGATAATATGACAGTTAGGGTGTTTACGTGTGACAGTTGCTGGGGGGGAGGGGGGCTTTGTGGTGCAAGATGGGATGGAAAGGGATGGGCAGCCTGAGAGAAAGGCCACCTGTCTCCATGCCGGCTAGGTTTGCCAAGGGCAGAATGTACTGCCTTCCGCAGCCTCGCCCTGATTTAGAATAGCAATCCCAGACACATGGCACGTGGGCCCTGGTTCTGCTCCCGCCCACGCCTGACAGCACCGTGCCCACACCTGGCTTCCCGCACCAGTGTCCTACCTGGACGCTCACTACCTGACCAGCCAGGGTTCCCACCTTCTGACCCCAATCAAGCCCGGGAAAAACTGCTCTCTGGGCGCCGGGATCAAATGCCTTCTGCCAGGGTCACCTTTCATCCTTAGTTCCTCTGGGCCACTGGGATGGCAAGGATGGGGGAAGGTGTCCTCTGGCTGAGACCAGCCCCAGCTGTGAGCTCCAGTGTGGCTCAGAGTGCTTTGTGTGTGCCAGGGATGTGCTCTGGGGAGACCATGGGGTGGGGCGGGGGACTTGATGACTGCCCCCTTCAGGAAGGTCCTCCCCACACCTAGAATAGCTTATTCTTCCTCCGACTTTTCAGGCTATTTAGTTTCACACTGGGTGAGCCCAGGCCTTGTCTGTTCTCTCTGCCCACCCCAGGCCAGGGACCCCTTGCCTCGGGTGGCTGTTATGTCCCCTCTCTTTCTTCAATGTCAGTCTCCAACTCTGAGAAACGGGCTCACTAGGAAACTGGCTCGGGGGAAACTGAGCTGAACACTGAGAGGCAGACAGTCTCCTATGGGAGAGTGAAGTCCAGCGCAGAGAAGGGCAGAGAGGGGAGCAGCCACCTGCGTCTCCTTCTGGCTCTCTGTGGGCTCTGGACAGGAGCTCACTTACCACCCCGTCCCACCTGCATGGGGAAGACACACCCCTGCTGCACCTGCGTCCTCTCAGCCCTCCACAAATCTCACGGGGTCATGCTGTATGTTCCTGTCCCCATTTCACAGATGTGAAGATAGTAGATGGCCAGGGATAGAGCAAGATGCCTGGGGCTGTTGTGGTTGCCACTTTATCACTGTCCTCCCCACCCTCGGGCTCGGGGCAAAGAGTAAGTGCTTACCTGCCATGCTACCCCGGAGGAATGCTGGGAGAGGGGACGTGGAGGTGGCCCCACATTGGAGCATCTGTTCAGGAAATACTAGACAGTCATGGGGGTCACAGACACTCCTCCACAGCTATCCCTGCACGATCTCATCTCTCTCACGGGTTTAAATCCCATGTCTGCACTGACAGCTTCCAAATTTATATTTCCCTTGTACCCTCTCCCCAGCTCCCCAACACCTCCAGGAGATGTCTGGAGCATCTCTGGCTCAAAGCGCTCAAGACTGAATCCTCGCTGCCTTGAACCTATCACTGCCACCCCTGAGGTTGGTCCTCCCAGACTCTCCTGACGGTACTAGTGTCAAAGATATCCTTAATCCCCTTGCGGCCCCTCCCACTTCTGCTCCTGTCTATCAACCAGTGGGACCTGGCCCCAGACAGATCTGAGCCCACATTCTTTGACATCCCTGTAAGAGCCTCCAAGTCCTCCCTCTTGCCTCCTCCCTGGCACACATCTGTCAGGATCATCTCAAGTCCTCCATGGATAACGAAAATAAACCAATCTCCTGACAGCGCCCTAAGGCCTCACAGATGCAGCATGCCTACGCCTATCGTGGCATCGTTCCTGCCTGGGCAAATGCCAGCCCTAGTGGTGCCTGTTGGTGTTTCAAACGGATCCTCTCCTGCCCTGGGCCTTTTGCATTTGCTGTTGCCAGGCCAGGGAACAGCAGCTTCTCACACAGCTTGGCCCTGCTTGGTTCTCCTGGGTGCGACCTTCCTCTAAGACCTTCTGACCCCTCCATGTGGAAAGCAGCTCTTCTTCCTCAGGGACACTGGCCACATCCTTCAGTTGCCTCAGTTTCTCTGGCTCTAGCGTGACCACTGTGGACCCTCCGCGAATGACTGCTAAGGACTGAATGAACTGGCCTCAGTCTCCCCCATCTGGAACAGGAAGCGAAAGAAACAGCACAGACTCAAACAAGTCCTAGCAGGGTCCTGGACCTCTGCTGGGTCGCCTCCATGGCAGAGCTGACACTGGGTGCTTCTGGGTGCCTGGGAACCTGGCTGGCCTGGATTAGCTTGCTCCCTCCAGGGAGTTCTCCACTTCCTCTCCATGGGGTTGGTGCGCTGGAAGCCCCAGGAGAAAGAGCTGTTTCCATGCTCACGGGTCTGGGGACCCAGAGCTAGGTAGAGAGGTCGGGAACCCAGGAGGGCTCTTGTAGGGCTGACTGGCCTCGATTTTGTGGCTCATGTTGCTGCCCTGGCCTTTTCACTAGCTTTAGGGGTCAACACTGCCTCCCACTGGCTCTTCTGATCTGGGAGCAGTCCTCCTCTGCCGGACACCTGCATTGAGACACTCCTTCCCATCCTCCTGCCCGAGCCGAGTAGTGGCCAAGGGCACTGGGGTACAAAGGGCAGAGTTCAGGCCTTGCCCTGAAGCTCAGCAGGTAAACAGAGGGCTGTGCCTCGGACATGGTCTGGGCCTTCCTTCTGCACTCCCAGAGGGCAGGAGCACCATGGATAGGTCCCCAGGCTAAAAGATTCTCAGAGGGTCTCAATGACTCTCTTCTAATGGGCTCAGTGAATGGCTTTTTACCCTTTTAGGAGGTCAAGGTACGTTTCTAGGGACCCCATCCTACAGACAGGGAAACCAGATGACTACATTCCAATGAGTCCCACGGCCAGTGTAGGGTCAAGATGGAGTCTGATAGGTATTACCCTTCCCGAATAAGTGACCTTGAGTAAAGTCTAAGTCCAGTTGATCCATCTATAGGGTGGACATCCATAGGGTGGGCATCCATAGGGTGGGCATCTATAGGGTGGACATCTATAGGGTGGACATCTATAGGGTGGACATCTATAGGGTAGACATCCATAGGGTGGACATCTATAGGGTGGACATCTATGGGGTGGGCATCTATAGGGTGGACATCTATAGGGTGGGCATCTATAGGGTGGGCATATATAGGGTGGGCATCTATAGGGTGGGCATCTATAGGGTGGGCATCTATAGGGTGAACATCCATAGGGTGGACATCTATAGGGTGGACATCCATAGGGTGGACATCTATAGGGTGGGCATCTATAGGGTGGACATCTATAGGGTGTTTGCTTCACTGGAGCTGTCTCTAGGCATGGGAGGAGCTCTGTGGAGATCCCCAGTCTGCACCCCTGACCAGAACACAGCCGAGCTCACAGCAGTCCAGCAAATGCTCAGGAAGTGAGAGATGGGGCCATGGTATAGCACAGTAAGTGCTGGCCATCCTTGCATCCCACTGGCTCCAAGAGCTCCATAGTCCCCCACCCTTAACAGTCCTGAAGGGACTCATCTATATGGTTTCCTGCCTGTATCTGCAGCTCTGGGGTCACATGATCCAGAGACAGCTGCTCCTCTCTGCTGACAAGACAGACACAGCCACTTCTGCTGTGCTATGCCCACATCCCACGAATACATAGCGTTACTCGGCTCCTCCCCCTACCTCCAGAGTGGGTTTGCGATGGGCTTCCGGGGCAGGTGAGGGGTCGTCCAGTCTGCCCATATCACACAGATGTTTGGTAAAGGCAAGTGACTCATCCAAGCTTTTCTAGCAGAACCTGACTTAGACCCAGACGTCACCCCACAGAGCTCCTATTCCTCTGGAAGGAGGAGCCCCTGCTTCCCTCTCCCTCATGCCAATCATCTTCTTAGGGATGAAGGTCATTGCAAGAAAGCAAAATTTTCTAGAAAGATGAGAGAGGGAGCCATGCAGGTGAGGGGTGAAGGTCAATGCTCCTGTCCCCTCCCTCTGTCTGGCAGTCCCCTCCCCACACGGCTCCTGAGCTCATAGAATGATCTACTCTTTCTAAGAACCGGAAATGCCATCTCTGCCTTCCCTTGCTCAAAGGGAGTCTGGGGGGTCACTACCCTGCCTGTCCCCCTAAGTTCAAGACCCTTTGTTTCTAAGGCTGCACCCCCACTCTGCCACCTGGCTTTCCCAGCGCCTTGTGGGATCAGAGGCCTGAGGAGGATTAGGCTCTGCAATGGCTCACCCTCCACCTCCCGCCATCCTGCCTCCCGGACTTAGTCATCTCTGCCCTCTGCCGCCTTCTCTCTCCATCACAACCCTTCTACCAGGGCAGGGAAGGAGGACACTGACAGGCCGCCCCCACCCAGGGGGCGGTGAAGCCAGGGGCCGGCTGCTCCGCAAAGGCTCACAAGCCGCTTCCCCTCCCTCCCCATTCCCTTTCTCGCCCCGCAGCCCGCGCCTCCCCCTCCGCCGCTCTGCGCACGGATGGCGGCGGGAGCCGCAGAGGTGTGTGTGTGTGTGTGTGTGTGTGTGTGTGTGTGTGTGTGTGTGCGCGCGCGTGCATGTGCGTGTGCGAAGGGGGAGGCTGCGCCTGGTCCCTGATGCCCACGGGGCTATGTCCTTTTCTAGGGACTGAGGGAGGGGGCTGTCCCCTGTCACGACCAGGAATTCCCACGGGGGCAGAGTCGGCTCCATGGAGCCTAGGATGGGAAGGGGGACACTGCCCTCCGGGTGCTGTCCGCTCCCAGCGAGGCGCTGAGTAATGCGGGGCCCCACGGTGCGGGTATTGGCGATCAAGGACAGCCTTTTGCCGGGGTCACCCTGCGGAGGATGGGGTGAAGGAGGGGGCGTGAGAGGGGAACTCCACCGATGTCCGTGGTCTGACGGGGTCGCTGCGGACCCCAGGGCTCGCGTGGGGGGCGGGGGCGCTCAGTCCTCGGGAGCAGCTACCAGCTCGTAGGAGCCCGGGGCGGGGACCCAGGGCACCGGAGCGCGGGAGTCCGCGCCGCTCCTACCTGCCCACGAAATTCTCCAGCACCGAGCTCTTGCCGGCGCTCTGGCCGCCCACCACGGCAATCTGCGGCAGGTCGAGGTCCGCGTTCTGGCCGATGGCGGAGAAGGCGTCCTGTAGCCGATTGACCAGAGGGATGAGGTCTTCCATGCCGCGGTTGCCCATGACTGCAGCGGGCCCGGCGGGCTGCGATCCCGGCTGCCGCTCCTGCTCCGGCTCCTGGCCCCCGGCTTCGCGGCTGCAGCAGAATATCCCGACTGCGTGCGCCGCGGGTCCCCCGCCCCACGGGGATCGGAGCGGAGCGCTTCTCCAGACCGCCGCTAGATGGCGCACGGGGTCTCGCGGGCTGGTCACCATGCGCAGACGCCGCGCGGGGCTCTATGGGTGTTGTAGTTTTCTCCTTCTGCGGCTTTCGGGGCGACTTACCTGTGTTTCTGGGGTACGGATGCTACACCAAAGATATTATTTCTGACGACGAGAGAGGTGCTAACTCTAGAAGTTAGTTATTATATGGTGGCTATGATTACTTCATTCTAGGATTCATTTCCAGTAGAGAAACTGAAACCTTAGAGGAAGATCTGGCACCCTCAAGATTGTGATCAGCTGGCAAAAATAAGCTCTAGTCAATTTAACCTTGGATGCTTTCTATTCTAGGTTCTGACACTAATTAATAATCTTCAGTATATTCCTTTCTATTTTGGGGCCTGCCTCAGTGTTTCTGTTTCTAGGAGAAAGAAAGGACCATTAATTCAACGAAGCCAGGCCCCTTCCTAAACACAACAAAACAGCAAGACAGCTGTAGTCTCCACGCTCAGATCTTACAGGTGGTGGGACAGACTGGACACAAATAGCCAAAGGCTGGAATGGAAAAAACGGAAGTCGTCTGGGCTAGAAGGCGTGGAAAAACCCAACAGGGAGTGGAACGCCTCGTTAGCCGGCAGGAGTCAAAGGTTTTCTGAAGAAGTGACCTTTGAAAAAGGGCCTAAATGATAAGAAGGAGCCATAGGTAGATAAGGAAAAAGTTCCCTGGTAGGAGGAAGGCCTTCAGGGAGAGATGAAAGCTCTTGTCTTAAACTCTAGGGCTCTAAAAGGGTGGTAGCCAGGCCCAGAGCGTGCGGAGACTGCCAGGTAGCGAGATGCAAGCCAAGGGCTCTTACAACTCTACTTGCCTGCCCGTGCCTTTCCCCCAGAGAGGCCTGAGACACGTGCCCAGCTACCCCTTTTGCACTAAGAGGAACCTAAGTAGGACTTCCCACAAGGAAGCCAAGAAAGGGAGGGTCAGCAGGTCGCTTCCACATGCGGAGATTAATTTTTCCCCCACTGAATCATGGTCCCTGAGGCACCATGCCAGTCCCCAGAGACATAGCAGTGAGAAGAATGGCCCTTACCTACATGTGACTTACAGTCGAGTGGGAAAAGGAGGGGCTATAGGCAACTAAGCCAATAACCGTGACTGTCAGATGGCAAGGAGCAGGGAGCCGGGCTGGGGCAGGAATTGTGTCATTAATGTCTGCAGGGTGATCAGAGACTGCGATATCAGGTGACTCCGGAACAGGGACTAGAAGAAGGTGGACAATGAGCCAGGCGAGAAGGGATTTCCAGGAAGGCAGAGAAGCCCCTGGGCCTTACCGACATATATGATCTGGATCCTTCCACATTTCTGGGTCCTAGTTACATAATCTGGAGAGTGGGCACAGTGACAGAATGCCTGGTGCTCACTGGTCCTCAGTAACCATGCCAACAGCATCAGAAGTCCAGGTAGCTGAAGCACCAGTCCCAGCATCCTCCATCCAGAGCAACAGTCCTTAGCCAACCTGTTAAGGACCAGAGAGGGCAGGGATATGTGCCAAGATGACCAGCACCATCAATTTAGGCTGGAGTACAGTCTGAAAATGTCTGTCTGGACCATTGCAACTGGGATTTTGTTATTTTTTTTTCCTGAGTCTTTCTTTTCTTTTTTTAAGGGGAAAGTGTGAATGAAGTCTTCATTACCACAAATTGTGCAATTAATGTTTCCCATATTTGGGGAAATCATGGGATTAGTACAGAGTGGATGAAAACCTGTGAAAACCTCTTTCTTGATCTTGGCATCTTTCCTGCCGGGTAAGTAGGATAACTTTCTTCTTAAACACAAAAGCGAAACTTACTGTGAAAAGACCAGACACTCCAGAAGTATTTGAAAGCCTCAGGCTGTCTTTCCATCTATGGATCAACACCACAGCCTAGAGTTTATCCGCATTGTATCTTTTTTTGTTTTGTTTTGTTTTGTTTTTGAGACAGGGCTTCTTTCGGTAATAGTCTTGGCTGCCCTGGAACTCACTCTATGGACCAGGCTGGCCTTGAACTCACAGAGATCCGACAGCCTCTGCCTCCTAAGTGCTGGGATTAAAGGTGTGAGTCACTACCACCCAACTGTGGTATATCTTTTATCTTTACAAAACGGGTCTTGCTAAATGCCCTGCAATAATTGATTCCTGAGCCACTAGGACCTGGTGGGGAGTTGGTTAGAAATGCAGAACTCCAGGCCTCACCCAGGACATTCCGTGTCACAATTTGAGTGTAACGAGGACCAAGGCCTGCAGGAAGCTGCTGTGCAAAGGAGTGGGAGTGTGGAGGGTGGTGCTCTGCATAAAGGGAGTTCCGTGAAAGTGTGAATTCAGAAAGTGAGCACGCCCTGACACACACTCTGCCCTCGTGCTCTCTCTATGGTTTTGAAGAGGCCAAAAGAGGGCTGCTGCAGAGAGGGCCCTCTGAGGGACAATACATCCATCCAATTAGAGCCCCCAGAAACACCAAATGTTTTGGCCCTCTGCTCTGAATTTTGGGAAGGGAGGATGCTTTGCTGAGCTCCTGAAGTTGGACTGCCATGGAGCTCAGTTATTAATAGAAACTCTCCATACGTGGTTCCTTCCAGCCAGTGACTATGCTCGGTGACTCCCCTGGCAGCATCTCAGAACTTTTAGTAGCTTGCTGCGATAGATGAGGAAAATGAGGTGCAGAGATACTACTGAGGAATGTGTCCAAGGTCACAAGGCCAAGCAGAGTTGGGGACTGGAAAGAAGGCTCAGCAGTTAAGAGCACTGGCTGCTCTTCCAGAGGTCCTGAGTTCAATTCCCAGCAACCACATGGTGGCTCACGACCATCTGTAATGAGATCTGATGCCTTCTTCTGGTGTGCAGGCAGAACACTGTATATATAATAAATAAGTTAATTAATTAAAAAAGAAATGACTAGCTGGGGGATGGTGGCGCACGCCTTTAATCTCAGCACTCGGGAGGCAGAGGCAGGCGGATCTCCGTGAGTTCGAGGCCAGCCTGGTCTACAAGAGCTAGTTCCAGGACAGGAACCAAAAAGCTACGGAGAAACCCTGTCTCGAAAAATCAAAATAAATAAATAAATAAATAAGAAATGACTGAGTCAAGCTGTCAGTAGAGGAGTGTGGCCTGCAGCATTGTCTGCATTGGAAGTCTGTGAAGTGTGTGTGTGTGTGTGTGTGCGTGCAAATGCGTGTGTGTGTGTGTGTGTGTGTGTGTGTGTGTGTGTGTATAGAGGCTAGAGGAGAAGCTCAAATGGTGTCCTCATCTGCCATCCACCTTGTTTTTTGAGACAGTATCTCTCATCTCCCCTGTACTCATCAAGTAGGTAGTAACTGACACCTTGCCCCATCGTCCTTCTCTGCACTGGAATTGCAAGCATGTACCTCCATGACTGACTCTCTTATGTGTTGTGGGCTTCCAATTTCCATCTTTAGGCTTACAAAGCACTTTAAAAACTGAGCTATGTATTTTGAGTGCACATAAAACCATACAGCAGCCTCCTGTTACATGTGCACAGCAGATACTGGAAAAAAAAAAAAATCAGTTGAGGGCCAGAGAGATGGCTCAGCACGTGAAGGGCTTTCCACCAAGCATGCCTAGCTGAGTTTGGTGAAGGAGAGCTGACTCCCTCAGGTTGTCCTCCGACCTTGACACAAACTCATGGACACCCCCCCACACACACACAAAGGAATAACAATGAAGGAAACCACACCAGCTGATTGGATTTGATTTGATTTGATCTTCAGATAAAAGCCCCTAGAGCAAGCCCTTGTATTTAGCCATTCAATTTTCTCTGGGCCTGGCATTTGGATCTATCATTCATTGTGTTTTCTTCAATGCACAGCGATCAGTGTCTATTTGGTAGCAGAACTCATGCAAGACACAGGTCTATGAAGGGGTTAATAACAAGGCTCATCCTATTGCAACAGGGATTCACAGGGGAGAACTAGACGTGCCCAGCAGATTGGGCACATGGAGCAGGAGCACTGTGGTACTCTGAATATGCAAGGCCCCCATAGGCTCATATATTTGGGCGCTTGGTCATTAGGGAGTAGTGATATTTGACAGGGATTAGGAGGTGTGTCCTTGTCGGAGTAGGTGTGGCCTTCTTGGAGGAAATGTGTCACTAGGAGTGGGCTTTGGGGTTTCAAATACTCAAGCCCAGCCCAGTGTCTCTCTCTTCCTGCTGCCTCTGGTCCAGATGTAGAACTCTGAGCTCCTTCACCAGCACCGTGTCTGATTGTATACCACTATGCTTCCCACCATGACAGCAATGGACTAAAACCCTGAATCTGTAAGCCAGCCCCAATTAAATATTTTCTTATACAAAAGTTGCCAGGTTGTGCCAGGCAGTGATGGCACAAGCCTTTAATCCCAGCACTCAAGAGTCAAAGGCAGGCGGATCTCAGTGAGTTCAAGGCCAGCTTGATCTACAAAGTGAGTTCCAGGACAACTAAGACTGTCACACAGAGAAACCCTGTCTTAGAAAACCAATAAAAGAGTTGTCATGGTCATGGTGTCTCTTCACAGCAAGAGAAACCCTAAGACAGACACCCAGGGCAGGGGCACTGCAGGGGAAGCCCCTGAGCCAGGCTGAGCATGCAGAGTGCCCTCCTCATCAAGGCTGGGAGGCTGGGGACAAAGGCATTCTTGGAGTTTGAGTGAGTTGCTGGTCTAGGTGTCTGCATTTTCCCTGTCCCATGCTGTGGAGAGCACTCCCCACGAGCCTGGGAGAGGGCCTGACTTACTACTGGTTCTGCCCTGCTGGTTCATGAAGCCAGTCATCTGGTGTTCATGTCCCTTCTCTCTAGACTGCTTTGTGGCCTGATGACTTAGAGCAGCCACTTCACCTCTGAGAGCTTCAGCTCTAACTTTTTGTAAAAGGGGATGGATAATAAAATCTCTGAGTTTCAGGACCCAGAATTGATGAAGCAAATTTGAGTAGAGAACCAATGAAACAGCAATTAGCATAGCTGTAAGCAATACCCCCCCCCACACACACACTGCACCCTCTAAAGGAATCCTTGTGTCTTAGGAAGGCATAAGAGGGTGTGGCTAGAGGTAATGACAAGGTATGTGGAAGCTGGAGGCTGTCACCCACAAGTCAGTTCTGTCCAGCAGAAATGACCAAATTAAGGCCCCTAATCAGAAGGATGCTTGCTCCAGAAGGTGGGGATGGACTCAAGGCTGTACACATCCAGTTTGCCCCCACCTCTGTCCTCTCTCTCTCTCTCTCTCTCTCTCTCTCTCTCTCTCTCTCTCTCTCTCTCTCTCTCTCTCTCTCTCTCTCTCTCTCTCACCGTGTGTATTTATAGGAAGGGGCACAGGTGGGCAGCAACCATTGGCAAGGCCACGTGAGAAACACATGGGCTCACACTCACTCTGCCTCCTTCCCAGTGTGGAGCTTCTGCTGAGCATGGCCGGTTCCCAGGAATCCTGAGCAGGGCTGGAAGGTGGCAGGCCCACCTTGCTGTCTGTGTCAGTGTGCCTGCCCTGTTGGATGCCTGGCTGGGATCTCCCCTGTAGGGGGATGTGTGTGCATGTCAATCAAGGAAGAGCTGCTCTGTGGACCATCAACCCCAGGGACGGGGGGGTCTTAAATTCACGTACTGGAGTCGTTCATTCATTCATCCATTTCATTGATTTTCACCAGATAAATGTGATGAGCAGGAGTGAGCGGGATCTCAAGGATGTGGGGACAATTCAGCAGCTTCTTTTGCCATCTGGAGGCGCATGACATCACTGGGGATAGAAATAGTGTGAGCTGAGGCGGTAGCAGGTTACAAATGAAGATGCCATATGGGGTCGATGACCACACAGAAAACAGTGACGGAAGCCACTATAAACGTTGCACAGGTGCTGGCGTGGGAACCTGCAAGACTAAGACACTGCAAGGCTTCAGCAACAAGACACCGTCGTCATTATTGCTAGCGTCACCACCGTCAGCATTGAGAAAGGGTCTCTTGTAGCCCAGGCTGGCCTCAAACTCTAACTGAGGATAACTGAGTTCTGATCTGTCTCCCTTCACTTCCCAAGTGCTGGGGTGGGGTTAAAAGCATGTGCCACAGTACCTGGTTTTCTGCAGTGCTGGAATCGAATCCAGGGCTTTGGGGCATACTAGACAAGCATCCTACTAGTTGAATTATGTCCTTAGTCCATCATCATTATCATCAATATCAACCACCACAACAACAATAAACAAGATCCGTTTATGTATCCTTGCCTGACCTAGAGCTCACTATCTCAGTGGTTCTCAACCTGTGGGCTGAGACCGCTTTTCAGGTCAAATAACCCCTTCACAGGGGGCTCATATCAGATATCTTGTATATCAGATATTTACATTATGATTTATAACAGTAACAAAATTACACTTATGAAGTAGCAAAGAAATGATTTTATGGTTGGGAGTTGCCGCACACGAAGAACTGTATTAAAGAGTTGCACCATCAGGAAGATTGAGAGGCACTGCTCTATATAAACCAATGAGGCTTTGAATTTACACCAATCCTTGGGCTTCTGCCTCCTGAGTGCTAGGATTACAGGCATGAGACTGCCTGGTTTGACATCAGTGTTAACCTGAAGAACTCAGGATAAGTCTGGAGAGATGGCTTAGCAGTTTAAGCACCTCTTCTTGCTAGAGGATCCAGGTTCGATCCCCAGCACCCACACGGCAGATCACAATTGTCCATAACTGCAGTTCCAGGGCTTCTGATGGCACAAGGCACGCATGTGGTGCACAGACATACATGCGAGGAAAACATATAAAATAAATCTAAAACCTTTTCAAACTTAGAGTAAAAATAACAGCTTTTCTCTGAGTAAAGCACATTTGATACAATATCAATCAAACTTCTGGTTGGATTTTAGAGGCAGCGAGAGGTTTAACAAAATTCTGTGTTCCATTTGAAAAAAATACAGGATCCAGAATTGGCGAGTTGTATTTACTTCCTGATTTTATAGTACATTGGACATAACCAGAAGGAGCCGGTGTTGACATAGATCCACTGAGTATGGGAATTCCATGATAAAGAGACTTTTCAAAACTCAGTTGCAAGGGCCCGGGGTCCCTCACTGGGCAATAACGCTTGCTGGAACAGTGGGTGCCCTGAGTCGGGTCCACAGAACCCATGTAGAGATGGAGAGAGAAAGCTGACTTTACACTATGGCACACACACCCTGCATATAATACACACACACATATACACACAACACACTAGCAATAAAAGTTAAGCGGCAAGAAAGAAATTTCAACAGTTTTTTTCAGCTTCCACGGGGAAGGTCTTTTCTTTCCAAATACATATTTTCATATACATACATACATGTACACATGTATACACACACACACACACATATATTGGGGGGAAAAATTCTGCCTGCCAGAGGTTGAGCAAAGATAATTAGCCCCCAAAAGTAGACCCAAAGCCCTCCAACCCATGGCCCCCCCCATGGTCTTCAAGGTTTGAGATCACACGTATTAAAGTAGAAAAAAAAAAGGAAAGGAAAAGAAAAGAAAGCCTTTCTTCTCATGATCAAAGTCATCCAAACCAACCAATGCAAACTGGGGCGGGAGAGGGGGCGGGGAGAGTGAAATCGCCTCTAGCCCACTACACCGTTATTCCCTGCCCCACAAAGCTCAGTTCATAATGGATATGGAGTTTTGAGAGCCTGCTGAGTTCACACCATGTCATATTGTGAATGTGTAACATTTGAAAATAATTTCTGATGGCTGTGTGCTTCTTATTTGAGAGGCAGACACTATGGCTTCTTTAGCTTTTCCCTCCGAAGTTGTTTTCCAGGCTGCTATTATACATAACGATTCCAGGGACAAACCTGTTGGTTTTAAAGTCTTTTCTGATCATTTTCCTGGGCTACATTCCTACAAGGGGGTTAATTGGGCAAAGGGCAAAGGGTGCTTAGAGCTTTGATAAACACTTGGCAGATGCGGGCCTGAAAGATGCGCGTGCGCACTCAGCTGGCGCTGGCTTCCCATCTTCGCCAGCACCAGCATTATTTTTAGTGTTTTCACTTTAGCAACTAGCTAAGCTCGCCGTGTGCCGGCGTCAGTGCTAGGCATTATGTAATGTCATCTTCACATACACCTACAGAAGGGGACACTTATTTTGTAGATCAAGAAACCAGCGGAGAGGACTCCTTCAGTCCCTCAGGGTCGCGAAACCAGCAGGAAAAAAGCAAAAACAAAAACAAATAACAACAAAACCCTGACTCCTTCGTTACCTGCGCCTGGGTTCCCACCAGGCTGCAGCATTTGTTTGTTTGTTTGCCACAGGGTCTAGCTAGTCCAGGCTGGCTTTGGATTCGCGATTATACCGCCTCTGTCTCTCTTGCAAGAAGCTCATAGGCTGGGGCCAGTATGCCCGACCAAACCAGAGTGCGTTTTCTTTTACTTTAAAATAATGATGTTATTTTGACCCAAGATCTTACTGTGCAGTCCCAGCTAGCCTGGAGCTAGCGATCTTCCAGCTTCTGCCTCCCATGTGCTGTGCTGGGTTTACGGGCATTTTCCTATGGGCTTACTCTTGTCACTTGCTCCCTTCCTAAATACCCCTGTCCCTCAAGGATGAAGCCCATCCTCTCAGCTCTACCATCCAGGCTTCCTAAACACGCATCTCCCAGCCGCGGCTATCCTAGCGCCAGGTTGAGCACTTTGGCGCAATTAACCCCAACTACTGCTCAACAGGTCCAGGTGGAGTGAGACGACCTGGCACCTGTGCCAGTGGCACGAAGACCAGTCCAGAGCCTAGCGGACAGAGCAGTCACCTGACTGCAGCGACCGTGATTTGGTGTCTGATGTACCTAGCGCCACCGTGTGGCCGGTCCTCAAGGTGTGCGCTGGTGCAAAGTGTGGGAATGACCCCTGAGCCAGGGAACTGACAGGAAAATGGCATTGCCAAAACTATTTGGGATGAGGGAGTCCTCGGTATCAGGATCGTTCTAGGGATAGGATGAAAGAGTCATTAAACAAAATTATAACTGGGCCAGTACTGATTGTAGAGGCAGGCGGATCTCTGTAAGTTCGAGACCAGTCTGGTCTACAACGTGAGTTCTAGGCCAGCCACGGCTACATAATGAAACAGAAAGGAAAATCAGGAGCTCGAGAGCTTGTTCCGTGGTTAAGAACATTTGTTGCTCTTCCAGAGAATCCAGGTTTGTTTTCCAGCACCCATTTGGTAGCTCATAACCACCAATAAACACCACTTCCTAGAGGATCAGATGTCCTCTTTAGACGTCCGTGGGCACTAGCCCCCCCCATACAGTACACACACAAACACAGTACACGCACGTACATACAGGCAAAACATTCATATGCAGGACACATGAAATAAAAATAAACCTAAATAAAATGGGGGTAGAGGGCGGAGAGATGGTAAGAGTACTTGTTCTTGCAGAAGACCTGGGTTCAATCCCTAGTACCCACAAGATGATTCACAAGTGTTCGTACCTCTAGTTTCAGGATGTACATGATATACAGACAAAACACGCACATAAAATAACTCTTTAAAAGACAAGACTATAAAAGAAAAACTGAATTCACACACACACACACACACACACACACACACACACCTTGCTCCCTTTGTGGGACCCAGCCATGACAAGCTCAAAGAGCCCCGAGTCTCAATTTTCCTTAAGGCAATACCTGGTTGCAAGAAAGACCACAAACTGAGATTATCCAGACACCACCCAGGAACAGATCATCCAAAGGAAATTCCTAACGTTCCAAACGTTGTAGATAGGGTCACCTACCAGTACATACCCATTGCTTTTCACCAGGACACCCCAAGACAATTGTCAGCCAATCAGGGGTCCTGAACCTTAGAAATTCCTCACTCCCACCTTTGCTACTACAAAAACCCAACTCTTAACTGAGCTAGGGGCTCTCCGATCATTACAAGAGGTTGGACACATGGAGAGACAGAGTTTGCAAACTTGTGTAAGAATAAAGGCTCTTTGCTTTTACATATAGGACTCGGTCTCCTAGTTGGTTTTGGGGGGGGGCTCCGGGATCTGGGCATAACACTCTTCACGCCAGCTCGCTCCTGTCCCAGCCCCACAAGGGCTCAGGATCACCGGACGGACAGTAGTGACTTCAGGAGGTAGGCTGCGAATTGACCCTCCTAGAAGTCCTCCGCCATGCTCCTGCCAGATAAACAGACGAGCCTAGAAGCTCACAATCGCCCCTTCCCGATTCCGGAGCCTGGGAACCCAGAGTCTGCGCTGCCCTGCGCCTCCTGGCATCTGGGAGCCACCGTGGCTCCAGCGGCTTGACCCGCGCAAAGCTGGTTCCCACGGCTGCGGCGGCCGCGGTGAGCCCTCCGGACCTCTAGAGGGCGCTCCGCGCAGGACTGCCCAGCCGCCGGGCCTTCCGAGTGGACAAGCTACTGCCGGGTCCCGAGAAGCCCGCGAACCGGCGAGCCCGAGCCGTCAATTCCGCGGATGGCTTTCGCGTCTTCCGCCTTCGTGGATTGCTGAGAGGTGAGGGGAGCCTGCGTGGTGCTCGTCCTGGAAGCCTCTGTGGAGGGCTGGGTACCTGGGTAGAGTGGCTGCAGGGGTAGTGGCTACCTGTATGGAGGCTGCAGGCTTTGTGTACAGGCGAGGCCACGGGATCAGATGCCCGGTGTTGGATATGTCTGCGGGGAAAGGGGGTGGAGGAATGAGGGGCAGTGGAGGGACGTAGGGGTGTATTTTAGTGGAGGGAAGCTTTTCCCTCCTGTCCAGGGCTCACTAATTTAAGTGGAAGGCCGGGTGTGCGTGCTGGTGTCATTGGCACCACATAGGGCTAGGGCAGCTGAATCCCAAACCGGGGGGTGTGTCTGGAGAGGTGCTGGCTCCAGGAAGTGATGAGTACGGAGAGAGAGAGAGAGACAGAAGGTGGGGGCTGGGGGGCGGTGGAAAGGTGTTCTTGGGTTGGAAGGGTGAAACCGTCAGAGTTGAAGAGATGGGAGTGAAGAGAGAGGTCTGCAGGCAAGAGCGTTGTTCTTGGCAGCTGACCAGAACTGAAAGCGCTGGGGTCCAAAAGTGTCATTGTCTTGACAGGGTTGGGAGTGTGTAGACGTGCAGCCTAGCCTAGGCGTCTGTGGGCTAAGGTGGGTGCTTTGGGAGGGGAGGGGGGCTCAATTGACTCTGAGTGGTGACCTGACCTTACCCACCTTCCCT